CTGCATGGAGCACTGGGTGTTATGCACAATCAATGAATCATGGAACACTACATCTAAAACTAATGATGTAATGTATGGGGATTAACATAACAATAAAAAAATTAAAAAAAAAAAAAGATCCACCAGCATGGCATCATAGCGACTTCTCTGCCATTCAGCGGGCCCCGAGGCCTGGATCCCAGCCTAGCGTGGGGGTTGGGAGATTCTTCCTTGGATGCTCTTACTATCTTGGCCCTACCAGCGGTGGCTCCTTCTTGTATCTGCTGTTTTTATTTTCTTTAGAGTTCTCTTTACTTGTTACTAGCCGATCCCTCATTATCCCAGACTCATTATAATCTTTAAACTGCTTGTTCAAGTTATGGCGTGGTTTCTCTCTCCTGATTAGACCCACACTGATACAGGGAGTGACCACAAGCTGCCTACTTCAGTTTAGAGAAGAGGCTAATGGATCCACCCTTGGCCTAGGTTCAGGGAACAGGAAATGGAAGGGATAAATCTAGGCCAGGACCAGTCACTGACTCACACTGACTGGCCCTGAATGAGGAGGCCCACCTCCAGCATGGTGAGCGGAAGGAGCATGGAAATGAGAGCCTGTCTTAGTCTGCTCAGGCTGCTATAACAAAATATCACAGACTGGGTGGCTTAAACAACATTTATTTCTCACAGTTCTCACAGTTCTGGAGGCCGGAAAGTCAAGGTCAAAGTGCTGGCTGATTTGGTTCTTGGTGAGATTTTTCTTCCTGGCTTGCAGATGGCTGCATTCTTGCTATGTCCTCACGTGGCAGAGAGAGCTGGCTCTGTTATCTCTCCCTCCTTTTATAAGGGCACCAAACCTATTGGATTAGGGCCCCACTCTTAAGACCCCAGTTAACCTTTATCAACTCCTCAAAGGCCCATCTCCAAACACAGTCACGTTGGAGGTTAGGGCCTCAACATTTCAGTCCATATACACCATACAGAGCCACATAGACCAGAGTTTGGATTTTAGCCCTATCATTTGCCAGCTGTATAACCTTGGGCAGATTACTTTCTCTCTCTAAGCCTTAATACCCTCACTTAGAGAACAGGGATAGTTAAGGTGACTATACAATTTTTTATCCAAGCCTTCTGAGAGTGAAAGGGGATGCCAGGACAGTAGGCAAATACCATGACTGTCACAGGCAAACCAGGACACATGGGTTCCTTAAAGACACCTATTGTGTGGTATTATTGGGAAGAATATATATGATACTGTATGCAAACTCCCTAGCACATTATTTGGCACAGGGTGGGCATCAAAAAATATTAGAATTCTTCTAATTGCTGGAATCACTCCTGGCCTCCCTGGCCCTGGCTCCTCCCCTACCAGCAAAATGCTCATCCCTTAACCCTTCACACGTCTTTCCCACCTGCCAGGCATTTCCTTAGGTCAAGTGAAGGCAAGGCTCAACATTTTGGTAGCACTGGGCACAACTGTGTACTGGGACTGGGAAAGCAAGATCACTGCAGAGGGGTACGGGGTGGGGGGCATTAAAGGAAAAGGAAAGGTAGAGAATTGGGGAAGAGGGGAGGTGAAGCAGAAAGAGCACAACTTCATGAGAGGCAGCGTTATGGAAACTCATTAGATATGACAAATGAAGAGAGGAAAATGTGCAGGATTATAGTTCCTGTATGTAAATATCCACATAAATTCCAGTTATTTACTTACAAATAAGCCTGAAATGAACTACAGCAAGTGTTATAGAAGTTATCTGGAATGCATGCAGGATTACAGGCTCCCAATGTACACACTATTTAAAAAATTTCGATAGCACAAAAGGGTGTACAGGGAAAAGTCTCCCTCCTACCCTGACTACCCCTTTTTAAACAAAAGGCAACTATACAGAATTTTGCACCTTGCTTTCCTTGTTTTACAAAATATTGTAGAGCTTATTCTTTAATTGTACATATCCCCCTCATTCTTTTTAATGATACCTAATGCTATATTATTCAGTTGTACCATAATTTATTTAACCAGGCCCTATGGCAGAAACCATTGGTTGGCTAATCCAATGCTCATTCCCAGCCTTTTTACTCTTGCTACTGTAGAAGCCAAATCCCTAAGAACCCTCAATATTTGCTTTCCCATCTTCCCTTGCAGCCAAGTGTGCCCATATGATGTGGCTCTGGCCAATGAGTCAGAAGCAGAAGTCTGCTACAATGTTTCTGGAAAGCTCTTGCTTTCTTCAGAGGAACAGATACCACTCCTTTCCCCTTGCTGTGGAGAATACTGACGTGATATCTAGAGTACAATCATGAGGGAAACGCCAACAGAATCACAGAGATGCTGGTTCTGTGTGTTCAGCTGCAGCTTGTCTGCAGACTGGTTAGCTGAGAAATGTAAGCCCCTCTTAATTTCAGCGACTGCTACTCAGACTTTCTGGTACTTGCTCCTGACACATTCTTGATACAGTCCCCCACTTATAGACATACATGTGGCTTCCAATCTTTTAATGCTAATAATGATGATGTAATGACAGTCCGTATACATAGATCTTTGCTTAAAAGTTTACGTAGAATAAATTCCTACTGTGGAATTGCTATTCATTTTCAATTTTGATAGGTCAGATTGCCTCTCAAAGAAGATTTATTAACTATGTTTTCATATCTTCAGATCTACGTGTACTACCCTGACCCATTCCAATATTATAGGTGATTTTTAGTTCTGTTTTTCTACTTCTCTTTGCCATATTTTCTATAATAAATATGTATTAGGAATCGCAGAGAAAAGTATTTTTAAAAACAGAATTCAGGAATTCCGAGTTCCAGACTACCCAGCAGTCTCCTTAGTAGCCTTGTAAACTTGGGTAAGTCAATTTATCACTAAACCAGTGGGCTTGGGAAATGGGCCCTTTCTGGCTGAGAGTGCTGTTGTGAGGATAGTAGTCATGTGCAGACGACAGGCTCACAGACAAGGGGGTGGTGCCTTCTCCCTGGTATGCCCTACCCAGGACCCCACCTACTGGAGTGACCCTTCTGTAGATGCTGGGTCAAGCTTTGCAAAGAAAGGCCTTTGTAGCTGTTGTCTACTCCCTCCAGAATGCCAAGGGGCTGTTTGTTGTGTTATAACGCAGGTGCACGCTGCTGCCTCATTGCTTATCTGCCAAGGAACTCTCAGCTCGGGATCAAAGGTTCTGAGCTGAAAGGGCCTTCAGAGAAGCCCATGCAAGGGAAGAGGGGTGCTGCAAAGTACAAGGGCTTGGGGTGCAGGCTTCGCTCAGGCAGCCTGGCATCAGACGGAGATGCAGCTTGGGTGAAGCTGGTCTGCAAACATATTTTATTTAGTTTCTAGTGTGCTCAAAATATTTTTTGATTAGTTGACAACATTTACAAACACGGAGTTTGGTTGCACAACAGCGTGAATGTACTTTTAATGCCACGGAATTGTACACTTAAAAATGGTTAAAATGGTAAATTTTACGTTCTGTATATTTTACTCCAATTTAAAATCTATTTGTAGACTGACATGTAAATGTAGTTGTTCCTTTAAGACCAAGCAAAGCATTTTTTAAAGAAAAGTATTTTTTTTTTATTCTTATGTTAATCCCCATACATTACATCATTAGTTTTAGATGAAGTGTTCCATGATTCATTGTGCATAACACCCAGTGCTCCATGCAAAAGAAAAGTATTTTTATGAATAATAAAAATTCCAAATAGTTTAAAAAAAGAATAAATCCAACTATAGTCCTCTTGTTCTTTTTTTTTTTTAAGATTTTATTTATTTGACAGCACACAAGCAGGGGGGGCAGCAGAGGGAGATGGAGAAGCAGGTTCTTGGCTGAGCAGGGAGCCCGGTGTAGGGCTCGATCCCAGGACCCCGGGGATCATGACCTGAGCTGAAGGTAGATGCTTAACCGACTGAGCCACCCTGGCGCCCCAACTATAGTCCTCATAGAAAGAATATTTTCATTATAAAATATTTAAAGGTGAGAGCCAAAGGGCGTCTGGGTGGCTCAGTCGGTTGAAAGACCCATTCTGGGTTTCAGCTCAGGTCATGATCTCAGGGCGGTGAGATCGAGCCCCACATCAAGCTCCGTGCTGGGCATGGAGTCTGCCTGAGATTCTCTCTCTTCCTCTGTCCCTGCCCCCACTCGTGTGCATGCTCTCTCTCTCTCTCCAAAATAAATAAATAAATAAATTAATTAAAAAAAAAAAAGTGAGGACCAAACACTTTTATACCGTTAATAAAATGTTAAAAAAGAACAGTGTTAATCCAGTTTTGAGTGTCTGCTAAAACACTGGAAAATCTAGAAACTTATCTGTAACTGGCAAGAAAGGCCTGGTAATGCTATGGCAACAAACCATCACAAAACCTCAATGGCTTAAAACAACAGATTTCCTTCTTGTTTATGTCATATGACCATTGCAGTTTGGGCAGTTTGGAGGATTGGCTCTGTGCAAATGATTTTTGCTCAGGGACCCAGGTTGAGGGAGATTCCCCAAGCGGAATGATATTGAGTATGGGGGCTAGTGTGGGGAGGGAAGACCTCAGCAAATAATCACTAACTCCAAAGACTTCTCTTCCTGGAAGAGGTATGTGTCACTTCTGCTCACGTTGTGTTGGCCAAAGCAGGGCATGTGGTCATGCCTGTCTATAAGGGTGCAGGACAGAATAATCCTGCCAGGCACCTAGAAGGAGGGGAAACAGCTATGTCAGAAAACAATACAATACGTCATCAAAATGAAAAGAACAGCATAGGGAATACAGTCAATAATATTGTAATAATGTTATATGGTGACAGATGGTGAGAACATTTTTCATGGTGAGTATTGATTAATGTATAGAATTGTTGAAGCCCCATGTGGTATACCTGAAATCAATATAATATTGCCTGTCAATTATACTTCGATAAAAAAAAAAATATATATATATATATATATATACAAATGACTACCCAGGACTCTTCAGATAAGGCATGAGCTCTTTGGGCCACCACAGTACCCAGGAATCCTTGGGGTGCTCCCAACACTGCAGCCAAAGATCAGAGGACATGTGTCATGCTGTCCTCTGGCTCCTTTATTCTCTGTCAGACTTCTCCAGGCATCAGGGACTTAAAGCTGTGTTTAATGAGAGATACTAGACAAACCTGTGTTCAATTCCTGGCTGTTTTAGGCAATAAACCTCTCCGAACCTCAGTTTCTTTCCCTGTAAGATAAAGATAATAATTAGACCTATCTCAATAATTAGCATTATTGTGAGAAATAAGACAATTTTCATAAAATGTTCAGTTCAGGGCCTGGTGTATAATAAGTACTCACAAGCCACTCTTAGGGTTATGCCAGGTTACTTTTTTTTTTTTTTAAGATTTTATTAGAGAGAGAGAGAGAGCAGGGGGAGGGACAGATGGAGAGGGAGAGAGAGAATCTCAAGCAGACGCTGCACTGAGCAAGGAGCCCAATACGGGGCTCGATCTCACAATCCTGAGATCATGACCTGAACTGAGATCAAGAGTCTAATGCTTAACTGACTGAGCCACCCAGGTGGCCCCCAAGTTACTTTTTAAATTATATAATACATGGAAAGTTTTTTTTTTAAAGATTTATTTATTTATTTATTTATTTGAGAGGGAGAGAGGGAGGGAGCATGAGCAGGGGGAGAGGCAGAGGCAGAGGGAGAAGCAGGCTCCCCGCTGAGCAGGGAGCCTGATGCGGGGCTCCATCCCAGGACCCCGGGATCATGACCTGAGCTGAAGGCAGATGCTTAACCAACTGAGCCACCCAGGCACCCCTACATGGAAAGTTTAATGTAAAAATTTTTAAACAATCCAGATAAAGTGAAAGTTTCCTTCAAACTCTCATTATCCATGTCTTCCACAGAGGAAGTAACTACTATCAGATTGCTGTACAGACTTTTTAAATTTTATTTTTATTTTTTTTAAAGATTTTATCTTTTGAGAGAGAGAGAGAGTGAGCACAAGCCAGGAAGACAGGCAGAGGGAGAGGGAGAAGCAGATTCCCCGCTGAGCAGAGAGCTCAACTTGGGGCTCAATCCCAGGACCCTGGGATCATGACCTGAACCGAGGGCAGACGCTCAACCAACTGAGCCACCCAGGTGCCCCAATTGCTGTACATTCTTTTGAGACCTTGTTCTGTGGTTTCACAAACACTGATAAACACATATGCATATATTGTTTTTGGTATTTTTTAAAGCATGCTTGACATACTGTACATAATTTGTAAGATGCTCTTTTTAATAAACTACATGCTCTGGGGATTTATGTTATATATGGGTACTATTGTAATATGTGTTTTAAAATTTTTTAAATCCTGCAGATTACTAGGATTTGCTATGGATCCCAGAATTCTCAAATCACCTGGAAAGCTGTCTCTGTAGCATTACCTGATGGTATGCTTGAGGACATGAAAGTATATTCCAGGCTTTCAGGCATTTCTGAGGAGGCCAAACCCCTTTTTTCACTTGGGGCTATATTCTTCTTCCCTGGTCAGTATTGACAAATAGGTAAATGAACATGGGCTTGAAGTCAGAGTCTTAGTTTCCAGCCCCAGCTGTGTAACCTTGGGCTAGTTGCTTACCCTCTCTGAGCCTGTTTCTGAGAAATGAGAAATATGGTTGTTGTCAACATTAAATGAGATCATCTTTATAGAGAATATTCACAAGGTTGCCTGGCTCATGGCCAGTATTCCATAGAGTTTCAGGAAGGTGATGTTGGCAGACAGTCAATGCCAAAAAGAAGAAATCCAATTAGGCACGTGTTTCTATGCCAGTAAAGGGTCTCTTTAGATTTTTGTATGGTAAGGAGCAAAAGGAAAAGATGTTAGTAGTCTGGTAGGCAGGCTGATTAAAACTTTGATGCTTCGGGACGCCTGGGTGGCTCAGTCATTGGGTGTCTGCCTTCCGCTCCGGTCATGGTCCCAGGGTCCTGGGATCGAGCCCCACATCAGGCGCCCTGCTCCCCGGGAAGCCTGCTTCTCCCTGTCCCACTCCCCCTGCTTGTGATCCCTCTCTCGCTGTGTCTCTCTCTGTCAAATAAGTAAATAAAATCTTTAAAAAAAAACCAAAAAACTTTGATGCTTCATTTTCAAAATCCCTCATATACCTAAAGGGATAATTTTTTTAAAATTCTACTTTATTTTTATTAAAGATTTTATTTTTAAGTAGTCTTTACACTCAACATGGGGCTCTAACTCACAACCCTGAGATCTAGAGTCACAGGCTCTACCTACTGAGCCAGCCAGGTGCACCTATTTTATTTTAATTCCGCAGTAGTTAACAACGGTGTTATATTAGTTTCAGGTGTACAATATAGTGATTCAGCAAATCTATATATTACTCAGTGCTCATTAAGGTAAGTGTACTCTTAATCCCTATCCTGTTTGTTTTTTAAAGATCAAAGTTTCCATATTTGTAGTTCGTTTTTTCTAAAAGATTTTATTTATTTGACAGAGAGAGACACAGCGAGAGAGAGAGAGAGAGAGAGAGAGAGAGGGAACACAAGCAGGGGGAGTGGGAGAGGGAGAAGCAGGCTCTCCACTGAGTGGGAGCCTGATGTGGGGCTCGATCCCAGGACCCTGGGATCATGACCTGAGCTGAAGGCAGATGCTTAAGGACTGAGCCACCCAGGCGCCCCATATTTGTAGTTCCTACCCTTAACATCTACACTTAACATTGAATTTCTTTTGAAAAATAATACATGCACATGTTAAAAAAATTATCAGTATCAAAACGTACTTTGGATGAATGAAAACTAAGCTGTTCTCCTACCCTGGCCCAAGTTCACCTCCTTGTTAGCGATCATTAACAGTTTGACTCCTTCTGGGCATGACCTGGGCATGCAAAGCAAAACCATCCAGGAATGTGCAGAGATAACTAGAGCAATACAGTATATCTTAATAGAAATAATTGCCCCATGGCATCGCTCCCCCTTTTTTACTCTTTCCATGATTCTGCACTTTGCAGATTGCTCTGTAACTGTACACATAGATCTGCCTCATTTTCTCTATGGTTGTATGACAGTCCCCTGTAAGAGTAGTTCCATATAGCTCCATATGTGGGTCGTTTCCTGTGTCTTTCTAGTACAAGCAGTGCTGTCATGAATGTTATTACGCTAGATCTTTGTTCACAGGTGAGAGTTTAATGGTTAAATACATATACAGGCAAGTATTTTTAAGCATCCTGCATAAATGATTAGCTATGTTTGGGAAACACTGATCAAGTTGATATTCTTAGGATTATTCCTTACCTAATATTCCCCGCCCCCCAACCCCTGCCCCCACCACTAAACTGTGTTTTCTGGGGTCTTGGCCATGTTTCTTCCTACCCTGATTCTCATAGCTTTGGGAAGAATTGGCAGAAAGAGAAGGGGGTGAAGTAGTGTACAGGAGAGGTTTGCAGACTTTGCTTGTCGGTGGAGAGAAAGACCAGCAGGAGGCTAGGGACTCTCTCCTACATGACCCAGGAAGCCAGATCAGGGTCTCTCAGCTTTGGCACTGCTGACTTTTTGCCTGGAAAATCCTTTGCATGGCAGGGGTGTGGGGAGGGTGGAGGGTGTCTCTCCTGTGCACCTGTGCCTCCCTGGCCTCTGCCCACTAGATGCCTGTAGTCCCTCTACCCAGTTGTGACTGAAGCCATAAGTCTCCTGGGGGGAAAATCTCCCCTGACTCCCCTGCCTTAGAAACAGTGCTCCAGACAATTCATTGGTGATAAATTACTCACTGAACATATACTACGTATCTAGCACCTGGGGCCTGAGGGTTTTATGATCTGAGTGGGGAAGCTACCACAGAATGTCAACTTGCCCTTTCCCATGGAAGACAGCAATGGCCACGTGAGGGTTCTTGTCCACGTTCTCTCTCTGGTAATCTAATACCCCTTCCTTTCTTTCTACCTCCCGTTACGCAACACAGTACATGAATACAGTCTCATTGTACAGCTTCAAATAATACATTATCCTAATCACTCCCAACCTAGGGGATTCTCTTGGAGGAATAACTATTGTTTTAAATTTAGAACTCTTCCTATGCACTTACATATTGATTTTAACATACAGAAATCAGGAGTTTCTTGCTTTTTTAACCTAAATGGGAATTCACTGTATATTTTGTTGAATTTGATATTTTTCAATTAATCCAAATAACAAACGGAAACCCATCCATATCTGTATAATTCTACCTCATTCTTTATTTTTTATTTTTTTTAGAAGATTTCATTTATTTATTTGACAGAGACACAGCGAGAGAGGGAACACAAGCAGGGGAATGGAAGAGGGAGAAGCAGGCTTCCCGTGGATCCCAGGACTCTGGGATCACCACCTGAGCCGAAGGCAGATGCTTAATGACTGAGCCACCCAGACGCCCCTACCTCATTCTTTTTTAAATTGCTGCATGGTATTCCATGTTATATGCACATCACTGGTTAATCAGTTTGCCAATTGATGAGCAATTACATTTTCAGTTTTTAAGTATTTTTTTTATAAAGATTTTATTTATTCATTTGAGAGAGAAACAGAGCACAAGCAGGGGGAGAGGTAGAGGGAGAAGGAGAAGCAAACTCCCCACTGAGCTGGGAGCTGGACATGGGGCTCCCTCCCAGGACCTGGAGATCAGGACCCGGGCTGAGGGCAGACGCTTAACCATCTGAGCCACCCAGGTGCCCCACTTTTTAAGTATTCTAACAAAGCTGACAATGCTGCAGTTGCAAGTGACGGTATACACTTCTTTGTTAAAAAAAAAGGTGTGGCCATATACCGAGGTACTATTATTGATTTGGGTGATATACACAATATTAATAGTGATTGCCAAATAGCCTCACAAAAAGAGCAGTTATCACTTAAAATTCGCTCCAAATGTGATTAAGAATAGCCCTGACTCTCATCATAAGCCATTTGGGTTAAATTACCAATCTGTAAATTTTAAAGTTTTGCAAGTCTGCTCTCATTAGCATTTCAATTTCGAAAGTCGTCTTGTTAAAGGAAATCTCTGAGTCCAGCCTTTAAGAACCCTTCCAGGGGCTCTTCTCTGCCGTCAGAATAAACTCCAAATGCCTTAGCAAAGCCGACCCGATCCTGGGGGTGGGGGTGGAGGTGGGGGTGGGTGTCCTTACTCTAGAAAACTTTAGTGGATTCTCTCCTCTGGGTTGAGTTCCATCCGATGCCTTTTTAGCCCCAGACGCTTAGTCCCAGACGCCTGCCTTTGCGGGGCTCCCGGCATCCAGATCATCTCTGATCCCAGCCCTTAATAGGAGTTTCATAAATGTTGAATGAGCTGGGCCGATGGGGCAGTGGGACCTGGGGGGCCAGAAGCACGCTCTCACCAGGCTCCTGGGGGCGGCCGCGAGTCTCGTCTCGGGCCAGTCCCCGCGCAGGGAATGAGAAGGGACGCGCCCGGGTCCCAGCAGGCTGCTGCCGGCGCCCCTTCTCCCCCAATAGAGACGCTCCAGGTGCTTCATTCCCAAATTCTCTGCAAAACTTAACGGGAGATCACATGCCTGGAATGAGAACCGACCGAGGCATCTGTGTATTTCCTTACAAAATGCTCATGGTGACCAACAGAGGGCCCAATAAAACACCTAGAGACGTGGACAGGACCGGGGGGTGCGCCACTTAGCCTCTGAAGTGCTTCGGGAAACCTCTGGGGTGTCCGTGTAGGAGTGTGACAAATTACCTTTTAAAGACGTAACGACGCGGGGCGCCTGCGTGGCTGAGTCGTTAAGCGTCGGCCTTCGGCTTGGGTCATGATCTCAGGGTCCTGGAATGGAGCCCCGCATAGGACTCCCTACTCCGCGGGAAGCCTGCTTCTCCCTCTCCCACTCCCCCTGCTTTTGTTCCCTCTCTCGCTGTCTCTATGTCAAATAAATAAAAATTAAAAAAAAAAAAGACATAACGACACAAAAGCAGCCCCCACACCCCCAGCTATTGGAACACTAAATGGCAATGGTGGTGACGCACAGGATGTTGCATTAAGGACCAACCAGAGTGGAGACTCCACAGACTACGGTTCCTTGGCAGCAACAGAAGGGGAAGACCTCTGCGAGCTCCCACCAGCCGGCCATCCGGCCAGCCCGCTGCAGCACTTGCCACGAACAGCAGGGTAGAAATCTGTGTTCTCAAACTCAACAGCACTTTTCAGTGCGGCCTTTTTACACGATCTTAGGTACACGACGGGCGCTACTTTCCCCTCTCGCTTTCTCTTAAACTGTTGTCCGACAATAGTGCTAATGGTGAGAGCCAGCAAGTGCCCTTAGGCGGCCGCCTGGAAATAAAAAAGTTGCTATAAGAAGAAGAAAAAAAAAAAAACTAAACAACGGGAACTTTCCCAGTTGGTTTCCCTGGTACTAAACAGTGCAGAAAAGGCGGGAGAGGGGCCTCAGGGGCTAGACCCAACAAGTGAGGGAAAAAAAGTAAAGAGGACGGAAGCCAGGGACAGAAGAGCCTCTGAACCTCCCCAGAGGGCACGGCGGCCCTGGGGCTCGGTCTCCTTGGCGCAGTCCAACCCCCGCGTCAATCAGACCTTTCCCGCTTTGCGATTGGCCAGGGGCTCCCTTGGCCTCCCTGGCGCCCACCCCCTAGTTGCTTGGGGTTTACTTCCCCAAAGTACACGGGCCCCACCTTGTGGAGCAACCGCTCCTGTATGGAAAAAGGATCTCCGCCCAAGGGAACACATTTTAACGAATGGGAGCGGCCCCACGCATTTATTGGCTGCTATGGGTATCGGTCAAAGAAGTTCCCACCCTCTTTTCCGACGTACCTTTAAGTCATTGGTCTATCTCAGTGCCAATCCGTTACTAGGGAAACGAGATCCTCACAGTCTCATAGGCATGAGTCAAAGCCAATCAAGAGCCACGCCTTCATCCTGAGTCAGTACCCAATTGCTGCTCGAAGAGCCCAGAGGACGCAGTCGGGATTGGTCACCAGCCTGCTCGACCTGGCCGCAACAAGTTAGGCTGAGTCGCGGTTATATAGACCGGCGACGGAGCACGCGTGTGTGCGGACGCAGTTGCGTGAGGTGATTTTGCCTTCTGCCGTACTGTGGAGCAAAGCTTGTTCCTCTCCCGCTCAGCCGCGCAGGTACGCCGGGGTGTGGGCGGGGCGGGGCGGCCCAGGGACGAAGACGAGCTGGGACGCTTGTGAGACAGAAAAGTCGCAGCGGCGGCGGCAGTGGCCACCGCGCGAGGCGTGCACCCTACCCTCCCCCCCACAACGGCCGCAGGCGGGCGCACGGGCGCGTGGAGTTTCCCCGCCCCCTCTCGCCGCGCTCCCACCGGCCGGCGCGCGTGGCCGTGTCCGCGTCC